TTTAAACAACTAGAGCCAAAACAAACACATTGATATTGAAGAATCCGTGTACCCTTCGATCATTAGTTATTCCGTTTCAAAATAAAATCAGAAAAACAACACTTATTTTCCTTTTCTAAATCAAATTGGAAAATCAAATCCTTTATGCTTCAATATCAATGTGTTTGTTTTGGCTCTAGTTCTTTAAAATTCTCAAAAGAATTATGGCATTACTATTATTTCGTTTTATTATTATTTGGGACAACGGAAGAGAGAAGAGACCTCGCGGAAGGGGGGCTACAGACGCGGGGGTGGGACTCCCCTGGTCCTACCCGCGGTGTGAATTTGACGCGCGGGGGATAAAGGACCAGAAAGTTATGGCCCTTGGAAACCACCGGGGGACCGCGCGTCTACCATCCGCCCAAGAGCGCTCATTTTGGGGGAGGAGAACCTCGGCTTCCAGGGCTTGTCAAAAACGAACCAGGGGTGCTAGAGACACGGGGTTTTCACGCACTCCTCCGGTTCTGGGCGATCACCGGGGATGGCTTTGCTCCCGCTCAGACCCAGGCCTGAGCACTCATTCTGGGGGAGAAGAAGACCGCAGCAGCAGGTTCAGGAGGCACGCTGCTCCATACCCCCGTGCTTACGGCCATACTACCTTGAGAATGCCCGATCTCGTCTGATCTCGGAAGCTAGGCAAGGTCGGGCCGCAGGGGCCAGCCGCGTATAGTGGGCATATCGTTGACTGGCACTGAACTGAAACTCTTTTTTCTATACAGATTGTTTTGTCAAATACTACTGTTGGCCCTGAAATATGATCAATAAAAAGAAAGACTTCAATAATGTATGACAGTATAATATATTTATTGTGAACAGATGAAAAAAGAGATATTTACAAATTTAAGAAATACACTTAGAAGAAAAACAACAACATGCTATCTTTATCTTCTTAAACTAGTATTTGTGTGATGAGCCCTGTGACTGTGACGGCTGAGAGCTGACTATACAGAACTGTAGATGCAGACTTTACAAATGAAATTATATAATTAGATATAATCAATATTAAGTATATATTTACATAATAATTAGAATATTTATAAACATTTATGAACAGACAGGTATAATACAGTAACTATATACAATAGCACCAATAGACAGCAGATAGCTCATTTAATTACACGCCACCTTTCCCTCTCCCGGTCATAAAAAGGAGACTGCTGGAACATCTGCGTCTCCATCCCCTGGTCCTTGTACAGGGAGAATACTTTGGCAGGGCAGTAGATGTATTTTCCTGACAGACCAGGGAATTGTGTATGAATGTGAGGACTGTTTGGTCCCTGCTTCAGCTGCAGTTTGCAGAACCCGCACTTTCTCCCAGTGGCAGGAGACTCATCTCTCTTCCTTTTCTTCTCCTGCCACTCATTCACTCTCTGCTGCGTGGCCTCCAGCTCTCTCTGGTAGAACTCAGTGTCCATAAAGTCTCGGAATGGCATCCTGGAGTTGGTCAAACCCTCTGTGCGATAGGTGTTATAGACCTTGGTGGAGCAATAGAAATACCTGGTAGGACCCTGCTGGTAAAACTCGTGGATGGAGCTGCCATCGCCCTCATATTTGGATTTTGGCTGGCCACAAGACAGGCATTTCTTTGTGTGGGGTTTATTTGCTGGAGGCTGCTGCTGCTTTTCCAAGATCCGCTGCACAACCTTCTCTATGGCCTCCTCAGACAGCAGTGACATTAGAGTGACAGCAGGCACTGTGCTGGTCTTACTGCCTGCTGTGAGCGATGTACTCCCCCAGCACTTCAGCCTTGTCTGAGGCATCATCTCCTCTCACTCGCACCAGAGTGAGGGCGTTCTCCCTCACCACCTCCTCCCTCAGAGGAGCACCGCACTCCCTCATGGACGGGTCGTCCCTGATCTTCCTCGCCTCCTCCGAAGGGTCCTGCAGCAGGAATCCACGTGGGCCCTTGCAAAAAATCACAGTGACGCGGCCAGGAAAGAATGAAAATGTCTTCATATTGTCTGCAACAACAAAAAAAGATCATAAAATATCTAGCTATAGCATGATAGAGAAGTATGTATAATGTATATATCTTTAGCATAATAAAGAATAAAATAATTAAATTTAGCATAATAAAGAAGCATGAATCCTGTATAATCTAGAGAAGACATATACAGTTGTATGTTTAAATCTGGACATTAGCAGCATGAGGCTCTGGGATACAGTAAGTACAGTTATAGAAGGAAAATATGAACTGGTAAAACACTAATACATTGTCGTACATTATCCAAAGCAACAAAAGGATAGAGAAAAAAATAGATAAACTGCACAAACATACCTGAATGTTATGTACTTTTTCACATTTTTAAGCCAGCGTTTATTCAAAACAATAGCAGTCAGGGTCTGATGAGCAGCAGAACCTGCAAGACAAGGAAGTTATGATACAGCTACTGTATTTCAACATGAAGTTTTACAAAATAAAATGTTCTAAATGAGTGAAACAAAATGCTCCATGTTACCTTGCTGTATCCACGGCTTATCTTGACTGCTGTCATCCAATTCATGCTCACTCACAAAACCCTGTGGCCCATGTGTGTTCATTGCGTACATGATGTAGTACTCCATGCCACAGTATCTGTAAAATAAAAGCATTGATAGATAACAATTGAAAATGGCACACACTTTGAGTATCTCTTGTTATTCACGTACCTTAAACTGCTCTACAGTACTTGCACGCTGACAGCAATACCAGAAATGGTTCACTATATCCTTTACCCAATGCATCAACACAGAATGTTCCTTGCCTTTTGCTGCCTGATAACAAAATACATTTATGAGAATGACTTTGTACCAAAGGTCTTTTCCTATTTGAGATTAAATCATTCAACAAATAACAGTGGTAATTGTGGCAATTTGACTTACTTCGCGTAGCTTCCTTCCAAGATTTTTGGAAGCATGCCAGACATCCAGCGAATGGGTTAAACTCCAATCCTTGTATTTTCCACGTACTGGATCTGAAGATAATATATTTCCTAAGTTAAATTATTTTTGGATGAGAAGTTTGATTGAGTGTGAAATATACTTACCGAGCAAGGCAGATATTTGTACATGAGCATCCGTCACTACTTCTTTTATAGGGATTTCGTTGAGAAGGCAGTCCATTGTACTTTCAAAACAGACTTTCTCCAAGATGACCGAATTCCTGCCAAATCTCCTTTTGTCCTCGCTCACAATGTGCACAATGTCACGGGTCTCGTGCTCAATCATGGTGTATGTACAAAATTGTGCACAGTGGCCTACAAATAAACATTTGGTAAGTAACAAGAGTTTTTTTCCACATGGGAATATTTTTGTATAGCATCACATACCAGGGGAGTCCATTCTGCCATCACCTGATAAAAGAGAAAAGATACAACTGAAATATAGCAATGTAATCTGCTTCCCAACAATGACACATATTGACAAGCAAACATGAAAATGACACTTACCAAGTACAACTACTTCAGTCTTTTGTCGAAGCTTGTTCAACACCTTCTCTCTACTCTCTTTCCAATGCTCCTCTACAGGCTTTAGGCAGTATTCAGACTGTATGGCAAAAAAAGTAGTCTCTGCAACCATTCCCATACACATAAATTTGAAAAGGAGATGGATTTTTTTGTAGTTGTTTCCAGAGAGAAGAATGTTTGTTGACAGCATGAAATCGCCTCCTTGCATTCCAAATTTTAGGAGTGGCTGAGAATTCCAATGCCAAATAGTGTGTCCGTGAGGGCAAACCTAAGTAAAGACGAACAAAGCAATTAGCAATTCAATACATTCTCTCACAACCTTTACCAACACCCCCACATCAGGTGACACCTTTTTCCAGGCTCCCCCGAAAGTCGTTCTCTAAACAATGGTGGTGCTTGCATTTACACTTACCCATTCAAGAATGACACCAGTCCCTCTGGGCTTTAATTGCACATGAAAAGGAGGCCTTCCATTGCATAGTGTCCCCAAAATAGGATCTCGGAACTGACACAACTGTACAGGCAACTGCATGTACCTTTGAAAAGTAAAACAGGAAATGAGAGGCTGGCATAAGATAGTAGCTATAGGTCTTAGAGATTAATATACCTTACAAGAGAGAGCAAGTTGTCATTGTAGCAGATGCTCGCTTCCTTTCCTACGAGGTCCTCTACAGTCTCAACCTTGTGTCTTACAGGAATGTGTTGATCTTCTTCAGGAACTATGGGCACCTCCTCTACATCCAGCACAGCCTCATCTATGTGTATTTCAGGAAGCTTGTCAATTTCTGCCCTTGAAGCTCCAGTAGATCTGTTACAATAACATTGAGGAGTCAGTGTCATTAAACAGCTTTATATATTTTGTGACAAGTGGAAAATTACGATAAGTAATTTATGAACAGCACATACCATAGATAGAGGAAAGGAACATAATCCTCATCAGAGTCGTCATCTTCCCAGCAAACAGCTTCCTCCATCTCAATCCTACACAGAAAAATACATATTGGTCTTGAAATGCACGCTTTATACATACAAAAAGGAAAAGGGTAATTTGCACACAATGTAAAGCACTTACATACTATTCTGCAAATCATTAGCAGCCTCTAGGTCGTCATCATGTTTTTCAGAAATTGCCAACGAGTGCATACTGCAAAAAATAATAAAAAATAAACAAACATGAGTATATTCTTCTCACAAAATGATTGATTATTATGTAATGGACTCACCTTGATTCAAGCACGTCAACTTTTTCACTTGCTGTGATCAACTCCTCTACACCTGAAAGGACCATTTATTTACCCCTACACAAGTAGAAAAGAATGTTGAGCTATAATATCACTGAAGCTCTGGTTTGTCTTTATAGTTCTATTAGTGTATGTACAATCTGCTTGTGCAGGTGCAAAGCATAATTATTTTTATCAATAGCATTGTCATCAGTGTCTTATAATTATACCTCTTTGAATGAATATTTTGATTTGTACCACAAACTGTCTACAGCTAAAACATAGTGCAAACCTGTCATGATCCGAAGAGTCTGAAAGACTCGATACTGGTGGTCCAGGAGGTTTTGCTGTGCCCTCTCCTTTGTATGGTGTGGATGTTGCTACACCTCTCCGTTCGTAACTAAACAAAAAGACAAGTCCTTGTATGAAAGCAATGCCAACAGCACAGGCAAAATGGGCCATAACAAACCGGTGCAATAATACAGTATGCCTATAAATTAAAAGTGTTGGTATTTCATTGAATCGGTAGATGGGCTAATAGCAGCCTGTTAGCTTGTTAGCCCTAGTTAGGCAAACACATCCACAGTATAATTACGTGAAAATAGAATCAGCAAAGCAGTATCATGGGGGTATAGAATTACCACAACCAAGTTAGTTTTATGAAAGTAGGAATCTGTTACATATGCGAAATGTCTGAGATTTACACACGTAGCGCTACACACGTTAGCTTTGGTTTGTAGCCTGTTAGCTTTGTCTGCCCGTATTTTGCTTCTACTAAACAGCGAAAATAATGACAAAGACATTTTACTGTATACTAGGAGCAAAGACTTCACTTACCAGTCTAACAACGAAGTTGAAAAAACAGAATCAGATTTACATCCAGCTTCTTCTTTCAACCTGCGCCAACGAGCAAACTCCATTCCCAGATCGACCCTTGTTTTTCCTCGAGCACGATCCCTTTCACGTTTCCTCTTTTTAGCGTCCTCCGAAGGTTTAAACTTTTTCCTTGCCTCAGCCATGACCAGGAGTCGAGCAGGTGGAAAATGAGTAGCAAAAGCCTTAGCTCCATGAGTATATCAGCGCCTGTAGCCGTAAAGCAAGTCTTTCTTCCAAGTCACGTGACCTGGTGGCAGACGGTCCGTCTGCTCGAAACTTACATGGGCGGTATTTCAAGAGGGCAGCCCCGCTCGGAGCATTGCAAGTGTCAAGCGCTGTATATTGGCCCAAGTATTCATATAAAATAACTCATATGTGTCAACTCTTTAGGTCACAAAGTCCGCGGTGTGCCTTTAAGTAATATCTACTTATTCACTTCATAACAGAAAATGATATAAACAAGTAAGATTTACCTAATATTTTAATATCTGATATTCCTGTATGAAAATAATTACATAACATTTACATAATATCCTCAGAAAGTTTAAGGTTAGTAGTAAGTACATTGTACTTGATACTGGCAAGTAAGTTATACTTGATATTACAAAATTAAAATGTACTTAGAAATTTTGAGTGCAAATACTTACAATGATTTTATTAAGTAAATTCTACAAGTCATTTCTTTGAGTGTAGGCAGTAAGTATTGGAATTGGTTGGCTAACAATGAGAGAGGCATATGCTCCCATGGACGAACAAGCAGTGGAAAAATAATCTATATAAAGAATCGGTTTATCATCTTTTATGAAGGACCAAACATGTCATAGTGGGTCAAATACAGACCAGGTTCAGACCTGGTTCAGACCTGGTTCAGATCAGGGTCTCATGTGTGTAAAGGCATTCCCACACTCTTCACAGACAAATGGAGTGTGGATCCTCTTGGGAACTTTGACAAGACCACTCTCTCTGAACTTCTGATTACAAACATCACAGCTAAAAGATTAGATTATTTTGTGGCGTTTATTAAACTGAAAATATTTAGGATGACAATAAAAATGTATGTACAATTGCATTTAATAAGGAAATAGAAAAATAGATACATAAACAGCGTGACAAGAGTCTAATAACATCTTGGTGGTCTGTCTTGTTGTTTCTTCACTTCAGAATAAACCACTGGGTCCAGTCGCGGTGAGACTGAGGCACTTCTGGGCACCACCTTCACTCCTGCATACGTCGCCTCATCTTCAGTCTGTGCATCAACAATGTAAACTGATGTCAGGATCATGGGGAAAATATATGATTACCATGACGACTGACCTGTTCCCTGTGAGTCGGGCCAATGCCAGAGTCCACTTCTGTAAAACAAACACTGTTACGTGGGTTTGAAGATTAAGGTTAAAGCAGTCATGTACAAACCAACAAACTATCTTTGGTATTCAGCCATTCATTTTACTTGTATAAACTGTTATTTGTTTTAAATTGTGTCCCAAAATGGCACCAGTTTAAATGCGGTGTTAATAAATATGAGCATATCACACCCAATTTTAAGCCCAAAGCCTGAAAAGCTATTGTAGAATGTTGTCTGGTGAACTAAAGTGGCCCTCCTACTAAAATGTTTGGACATCCCTGGGTTGAAGTTTTCCTGCAGCATGTAGCACTCATGCCTCACATCAAGAAGGTCGTGGGTTTGATCTCATGCAGGCTAGGGTCTTTCTCCATAGAGTCTGCATGTTTTCCCCTGGTCTGAGTGGGTTTCTTCTGTGCGGAACGGTTTCCCCCACCGCCCAAAACATGCACCGCAGGTTAAATCCTCCAGAGAAGCCTTGACTAAGAGCATCAACATGTGGGTCACAACAGTGCAGCTAACCCTACAGGCTCTTTCATCCTCCAGTTACTGTACTGTATGTGTGTAATTGGATCAGTGCAGTTGACCCATGGGTTTCAAATGTCAACTTATATGTCATGATGTCCCTCAACATAGGCTTCGCTGAGGTTTTTCACTTTTCCCACTGGGTCTTTAAGTTGTTCTTTGACGAAGCAGGAGGGTCTAAGGACAATGGTGATAATAATGACATTAGTGACAGTGGTGACATTTATGGACATTGGAAATCGCCTCTTATGGACCAACGGCTGTGTGAGAACTTTGATTCTCTGATCTGTTGTTGTTTGCGTATTCTCTCATCTGTTGTTGTTTGTGAATCAAATCTTTGCAAAGCGACTGTTGTGATTTACGGTTAGACAAAATTAAATTCTATAGAGCCTTAAACCAGGGACCCATCTCCTGACAGGTAGCCTCAGAGGCAAGAAGGATGGGTGAAATGCAGAGGACTAATATCTCTAATACCTGCACAGTGTCTCCCCAGGTCAGCTTGGTAAGGACCTCCTTAAATTAGCATTATGTAATATTTGCATGTCAAGTCATCATTAAATGGCCCCAATATTTCAAAAGGCATTATTCATGCTCTTTTTGAATACATCTTTAACTGATAGATCAGCCGAGATATTTGAAAATCAAAATTAGTTTTACGACCTGTAAAAGTTGTTATTGTTTTCATTTCAATGTCCTACCCTCCGCCGTTTCAGCGATCATAAAGTCCGACATGTCATCATTTATATTTCCATTCAAACAACCATTTACAGAAAAATATGGCATCATGTTGCCGATAGTTTGAAATGCGATTAATTATGATTAATACATTTTAAGCTGTAAGTAACTCGATTAAAAAATGTTATCGTTTGACAGCCCTATTTTTTACATTATGCTCCTTTAAGTCAAGTATTTACATTATATTGATGCAGTCTTCCTAAGTCTGTGGTTTGTCACTTTTTGAGAAACTGCACAGAAAGGATTCAGTTGGCTGTGAAGTGTGAGTGTTGGTTTCTCAGTGCAGTTCTCTGGAAGAAGGTAAACTTTGTGAGTGTGGTCAGTACCTTTGAGCTGATACTTCCTGTAGCTGCAAACCATCCGCACCAGGACAACCACAGCCGAGCACAAAACTATGTTCAACACGGTCAGGACAATGACAGCTGGACTCAGTTCAGAGGCTCCTCCTTCAAACAGACAAGTTACAATTCAATTATCTTCATAATTATTACTACAGAAGTTTTTTTTGTTAAGAGCAGGAATAAAACAACCAGTATGAGAAAACCCTGGATCAGAACCATTGTTACAACCTATTTTCCATTTAGTAAGAAATTGAACATATCACAGAGTCCAGTCCGTACAACCGCAGAGGCCATTCAGTCATGGTGAAAAACCACTGTGTGACTGTAAATGGTTGTAACTTTCTTGTTCCTTGGTGTCGTCCAAGTGATTGATTTTTCTGTATTGTAAAAGCTTGATAGGGTTTGGTTGCTTTTTGTGGATAATCCCATAAATGAAACATTACAAGGTGCTAGCATTCCAATAGAACAAGCTAAACTCTGCCACAACAGAAATATGATAATAATATCAATAATTACTGTTCACGTGGATCCTTGTCCCAGTGAGAGTGTGTCCACAGTGTCCTGTGGACACCACACAGAGGTAGGTCCCTTCTTCTCTGGACTTTACATCTTTCAGAGTCAGATTATGAACACAAGAAGTTTCTCAAGCGCTCCTACAGAACATAGTCTCATTTCCAGAGTTACGTGCAATAATCTCAGACTTCAAACCACTTCTAATCCAAGTGACGCTGGTTTGTCCTGAACATCGGCTGGTGTTGAATGAGCAGCTGAGGGTCACAGAGTCTCCTGACTTCACTGGGACCAAGTCTGGGGTCTGGACCACGGACTGTAGAGGCTCTGAGTCCTGATCCAGCTCCAGAACAGTTCCTGATCCAAAGAAAACATTAGTAGGGCTATGGATTCCACAGTAGTACGTGCCAACATCCTTCTTCCTCATCTGCTTTATGGTCAAAGTGGTTTGATTTGGATTAGAGTTCACTGAATAAAGGTCATGTTTAGTTGAATTTCCCTCAAACAGGTTATTTGTTGAAGCGAGCAGAAGTAGACTCTTGTTGTTGCTCAGTTTGTACCACACTCTACTTTTCCAATAACTTTTGGTCAGACATTTCATTTCTATGGTCTCTCCGAGCTTTGCAGTTTTCAGACATTCTTGCTGCTGGATTTCCTGTGACTGAGCTGCAACTGAAACACAGAACAGTTCATAGTTCATCATTTTCCAAAGTCTGAGATAAAATAATACATTTTGGGATGTTACTCACAGAAAGCAGAAAGCAGAAGAACACAGACTCCTCTCAACAGCCTCATTGTGCAGAAGACATTGATGCCCTGGAGTTTCTGGGTCGACATGGGCAGTGGAAGAGTTTTATACATATGAATGGAGCCTTCTGATTGGACGGTAGATTTGCACTTGACACCATTGGCTGAAGCAGTTATCTGATTATTTGCTGCATCTACTTTGTCTCACCTTCTACACTTCTGTTGCTTCCAGTTTGAAGGTTCTTTTTCAGAGTTGTTTTGTAGAGTTTTGCATTTGTGACTTTTGGAACAAACTATACGATATTTCCCCAATCCCTCGCACATTTTGATAAACAGTTGTACTTAAAACAGTCAAATTCATTCCACGACAAACACTCGTTCTCAGAACCTCGAGTCATAAACAAAAGAGATGTTTTGCTTCTTTTCAAACAAATGTATTGTATTCAAATAAGTTCTGATTAATACTGTGGTTTATTTCAGTTTCTTTCTCCAATGACAGATTATCAGTCATTGGAGTGTTTTAGGATCTATGAAAGACAGACTTTAATCCGACATTATCTAAATACCTTATGTTTTTTTATCTGAACATTGTGAGAGAAAAGCACTGGCTCCAACCGGATATGACCAAAACAAAAGTATCAGTACAGATGCAGAGATACACCCTCCAAACCACAGCCTTCAGTCCTGTGTGGCTTTGGCAGCAGAATGTTTGACGGACCATGATGCACTGCTGCTGAGAGAGCCTGTGGTTTCACTGGAGCTGTGAAAATAACCTGCTCTTCTTCATCAGTTAAATTAACCCTTAGATCGAGTTGAATAGAGTTTGTTGGGGCCTTGTGGAAGTGACGACCACAAGATACAGGATGTTGTCAGGGTGAGTGAGTGTATTAATAGCCTTTGAACAGGTCTCAATGATGCTTAATGATTAAAAGGAGCCCATATCTGTGTATCCTACTCTGTGTATCTACAGCTGTGGTTGGAGTGTATCAGTCAACAGCATCATGAAGGCCGAGGAGACACCAGAGAGGTAAGAGGTCAGGAAGGCAGGCCGAGGAGACACCAGAGAGGTCAGGGAGGAAGGCCGAGGAGACACCAGAGAGGTCAGAGGTCAGGGGGGAAGGCCAAGGAGACACCAGAGAGGTCAGGGAGGAAGGCCGAGGAGACACCAGAGAGGTCATTGAGGAAGGCCAAGGAGACACCAGAGAGGTCATAGAGGAAGGCCGAGGAGACACCAGAGAGGTCATTGAGGAAGGCCGAGGAGACACCAGAGAGGTCAGGGAGGAAGGCCGAGGAGACACCAGAGAGGTCAGGGAGGAAGGCGAAGGAGACACCAGAGAAGTCAGATGTCAGGAAGGAAGGCCAAGGAGACACTAGAGAGATCCAAGAAGACACTAGAAAGGTCAGAGGTCTGGGAGGAAGTCCGAAGGGACACCACAGGTTAAGTTGTGTAGAAACCTGGAGGTTTGTTTGGTAATCTCAAAAAATCACTGTTCAGTTCAGGGGACAGTGCTCTTCCTGAAGTCCACAATCATCTCCACTGTCTTCTGGGCGTTCAGCTCCAGGTTATTACCACTGCACCAGGACACCAGCCGACACCACCTCCCTCCTGTAGGCGGACTCATCGTTGTTGGAGATGAGTCCAATGAGGGTGGTGTCGTCCGCAAACTTGATCAGCTTCACAGAGTCGTGGCTGGAGGTGCAGTGGTTGGTGTACAGGGAGAAGAGCAGGGGAGAAAGAACACAGCCCTGTGGGGCTCCTGTATTTGTAATCCGAGAGTCCGAGACATTCTTCCCCAGACGCACTCGCTGCTTCCTGTCGGTCAGGAAGTCAGTGATCCACCTGCAGGTGGAATCGGGCACGTTGAGCTGGGAGAGCTTGTCCTGGAGCAGGGATGGCAGGATTGTGTTGAAGGCAGAGCTGAAGTCCACGAACAGGACCCTGGCGTAGGTCCCCGGGGAGTCCAGGTGCTGTAGGATGGGGTGGAGGGCCAGGTTAATGGCGTCGTCTACAGATCTGTTGGCTCTGTAGGCGAACTGCAGGGGGTCCAGGAGGGGGGAGGTGAGGGACTTGAGATGGGAGAGTCTAAATCTACAATTGCAATCTTCTGACTTCTAGCGACACTACTTGATAATACAACAAAGTGAACCATTGCAAACAAACATTACTATCAAAACATGAGTGATCTTATGCCTATTTGTAAGAAGTCTATGCCTATTTGTGAGTCACTGTTTGACTCTTTGAGCTGGAAGCTGATTGGCTGAGTGAGGCCGTCTCTAAAGATGATCTCTAAATACATGTCATTACTTCTTCATGGCCACAGGGACATACAGGTTCTTGTATCCGATCTCGTCTTTTCCCTTCACACAATTCTAGAATCGGACCCCGGAGTAAACACACTCGGTGTTGGTTCCGCCCGCAGCTGTTCTGGGCCTGTTGGAAGTGCGTTGCTTTAAGGCGGCGTAATGAACGTCCTCCTCCTTCTAACCACACAAAAAACAAAAACACAACATACACTTTACATTTAGGATTCTACTGTGATGAGAACACTGTGTACAGATGGACAATGCTAACCAGCTAATTAAGCCCAATACAGCGCCTTGGAAAAGTATTTACGCCCCTTGGCATTTTGTGTGTTTTGTTGCCTCACAACCTGGAATTAACATGGATTGTTTGAGGATTTGCATCGGTTAATTTACAGGACATGCCCACAACTTTAAGATGTTGTCTTTTTTTATTGTGAAGCAAACAACCAATAGGACAAAATAACAGAAAAGGTCAATGTGCATAACTATTCACCCCCCTAAAGTCAATACTTTGTAGAGCCATCTTTTGCGGCAATCACAGCGCCAAGTCACTTTGGATAAGTCTCTATGAGCTTGCCGCATCTTACCACTGGGATGTTTGCCTGTTCCTCCTTGAAAAACTGCTCCAGCTCCTTCCAGTTGGATGGTTTGAGCTTATGAACAGCAATCTTTAAGTCTGACCACGGATTTTCTATTGGATTGAGGTCTGGGCTTTGACTATGCCATTCCAACACATTTACATGTTTCCCCTTAAACCACTGTGTTGCTTCAGCAGTGTGTTTGGGGTCATTGTCCTGCTGGAAGTTGAACCTCTGTCCTAGCCTCAAATCACACACAGAGTGGTACAAGTTTTGCTCAAGAATATCCCTGTATTTAGCACCATCCATCTTTCCCTCAACTCTGACCAGTTTCCCAAGTCCTCGCTGCTGAAAAACATCCCCGTAGTATGATGCTGCCACCACCATGTTTCACTGTGGGGATGGTGTTCTTTGGGTGGTGTGATGTGTTGGGTTTGCGCCAGACATAGCATTTTCCTTGATGGCCGAAAAGTTCAGTTTTAGTCGCATCAGACCAGAGCACCCTCCTCCATACATTTTGGGAGTCTCCCACATGCCTTTTCGCAAACTCAAAACTCTGCCATAAAGCCCAACTCTATGGAGCGTACGGCTTATTGTCGTCCTATGTACAGATACTCCAGTCTCTGCTGTGGAACTCTGCAGCTCCTCCAGGGTTACCTTAGGTCTCTGTGCTGCCTCTCTGATTAATGGCCTCCTTGCCCGGTCCGTGAGTTTTGGTGGGCGGCCTTCTCTTGGCAGGTTTGCTGTTGTGCCATGTTCTTTCCATTGGGTTATGATAGATTTGATGGTGCTCCTGGGAATCGTCAAAGATTTTGATATTTTTATAACCTAACCCTGACTTTTACTTCTCAACAACACTGGGCGGCACGGTGGCTGAGTGGTCCTGGGTTCGAATCCCGGTCGGACCAGGGCCTTTCTGAGTGGAGTTTGCATGTTCTCCCCGTGTCTGCGTAGGTTTCCTCCGGGTACTCCGGTTTCCCCTACCACTAAAAATATGTATAATAGTTCTGGCATGCGCCTCCTGTACTGGCCCCTCCCATCTCTGTGTGAAGTGAGAGACAAATGCCCAAAATAAAATAATAACAATTGTAAACCGCTTTGAGACTCAAATCTGCAGTGAAAAGGCGGTATATAAATAAAGATTACTACTACTACTACTACTTACACTGTCCCTTACTTGTTTGGAGAATTCCTTGGTCTTCATGGCAGTGTTTGGTTAGTGGTGCTTCGGTGTTGCAGCCTCTGAGGCCTTTCAAAAAAGGTGAGTATATGTACTGACAGATCATGTGACACTTAGATTGCACACAAGTTCACTATCTATGTGACTTCTGAAGGTAATTGGTTGCACCAGACCTTTTTTATGGGCTTCATAACAAAGGGGATGAATACATATGCACATGCTAATTTCCAGTTTGTTTGTTGTTTTCTGAACATATTTATAAATAAATATCAAATTTTGTGATGTTTTTGTGAAACGGTTTAGCAGGCCGATATTGATGGAGCTGAAGTTGGCTGGATGACAATCTGAACTTGTGTTAGTAAGACTCATAGGGCCAATATATAGGGTTAGGATATTAGTTAAGTGATACATGAGTGTCTTACCTCAATGCTCACAGAAGATTGAGCTGCAAAGAAAAGAATCAGAATTAGTTACGTATTAATAAAGAATTTCAGAGCAATTCTCATTTAAAATAGACCTCATTGGGCCCAAAAATCACATGTTCTTATTCAGTGTTAGCATTCTTATTAAGTGTTAGCATTCCAATCAGTTTTAATCTGTCGAATTATCAGATTTTTTCCCCTGAACAAAATCAGTATAATTTGTCAAAATCATCAATATCAGGATATTTTATACTTTATATACTTTGAAAAAAACATTTAAATATTGTATCTGGATTTTTATAGACAATATATAAGAAATTAAACACCAGGATCACAGAGAGCACTAAACCAAAGATAAATTAAGCCCAAAACGATGACTGTGGCTCAATTGGTTACTGAGCTCGAGGAGTTTACTTTTACATAGAGTGAGTTGGAGCAAAACTTTGTCCATGAGCATTTCCCTATTGTTCTTCATTGAGCATTGTCCATCTATATACAGTCTATGGGATATTGTATTAAAAAATGACGTGTTCAAAATCCCTTATAAAGATGACCAGGATTCAGAAAGTTAAATTCAAAAAGGTTTTATTTCCCTAATACAAAAAGAATCTAAACAGCGGTCCGGACCAAAAAATAACTATTCCCTATCCTCTATATAAAGTATAACATTGGTGGGCGCTCCACCAAGTTACACGGCTATCCCTGATCCGGACTAAAAACTAACTAACACATTCAAGCCTATTCATTATAAGTAAATGTGCAGGAAGAAGGGGCGTGTCGTATCAGGCAGCTCTGGTCCCGTATCCGGTCTTTTGTTCTCCGCATCTCCAGACATAAAATGAGATTCATTCACACTCCCCAAATCTATAGATTTATTACTTCCTTGAGATAAGGCAGGAGTCTCAAGGCTGCTGTCACTGCATACTCTGGCCCCCCAGATTAACTATCATTAACTATTTCCTGCAAGGTCTTTTGGCTTAGACAGAGACAGAGTTCAATCGGTCATCATAATCACATCTCCATCCATCCATTTTCTACCCTTTAATCCTTTTCTGGGTCAGGGGGGTGGCAATCAGAGATGCCACCCAAGTCTCATAGCACCAGCCCCTCACTGACCCTCTGCAGGTGGTGAGTCCACAGGAGCATAGCCTTGATCTTTCAGTGGGGGCTTTGGGCAAAGTGGGGTTAAGTGTCTTGCCCAAGGACACAACGACAGCAGTCATCAGTGGGAGTCGATGGAGAAGGTGCAGAGGTGGGAATTGAACCCACAACCTTCTGGCCTTAAGGCCAATGCTCTACCAACTGAGCTACTGTCGCTACTGTCACTGAACAGATAATCACATCTGTTCAGTGCATATCTAATACAACAGGGACCAGGCTATTTAAGACTCCAAAAACCAGGCTTGGATCTGTACAAAACTGCTTTTTGTGAGCCAATCTGAACCATTTCATAGTTAACATCTGTAAAGTTAATATAGACCCAGTGTCAAAATTCCACTCACATTTCTTCTTGATCTTATAAATAGCCAATACCAGAAACAGTGAAACGATCAAAGTCACGGCCAGAATTCCGCCCAAGACGTACACCGCGAACGAGCGAGACTCTCCAACTGAAAGTACAGTCGACAAACATGCGAGAAGTTACATTACATTTACTGTATGAACAAACAAACCTTTCTGTGTGGTCCATTCACTGAAGGTTTAGAGAGAAAAAGCATCTGCCCCAAAGGAATATTGTATGTTTATATTTTAGACCAGTTCAGGGCCATACAAAGAGAAATTGAATTGAATAGGTCGCTTTTAGGAGTGGACTGGCTGAGTGTGACATCCCACAGAGATAGTCTTAATGCGGGAGAGGCCGATTTCAACATTAGCTGAAGCAAATTTCCTTATATGGGCATTTTTTTCGATGGCGTTAACCTTGAGCCATAACAGGGGCAGACGAGGTGATAAGAGGCTTGCTCTGGCAAACTGGAGTCTCCCCCATGAATGACGGCTTCTTTGACATAGATATTAATTCACTTCCCTATTGGGCTTCCTTCGGCTGGCGGGTTAGCTACGCAGATTTAGATCCAGTTCATGGTTTATATTCGCAGACACTGAGGTCACCAGGCAGTAGAGAGAGGAAAGACGTCTTTGAAAGGATAGGGTTGAAAATAAAACTGTGCCAAAACATTGTCAAGGTGAAAATGTAGAGTTGGCTCCGGCTGGAGGAGTTGCAGTGTACCTTTAAGTCTTATATCTGGGTGACAATTCAATGACAATATACAGATTTAAACACCAGGTTCACAGATGTTCATTTTTCATTTCATTTCATTTCATTTTCAACCCCTTTGTCCATTTCTGGGTCGGGGGGGTGGCAATGAGAGCTGCCACCCAACGCTCATAGCACCAGTCTCTCGCTGATCTTCTGCAGAGGGTGAGTCCACAGGAATATGGCTGCTCCGTCAATTGTGAAACAGACACTTGATCTTTCAGCGGGGGGCTTCAGGCAATGTGGGGTTAAGTGTCTTGCCCAAGGACACAACGACAGCAGTCATCAGTGCGAGCAGTTGTAGTAGGTCCCATGGTGGGAATCGAACTCACGACCTCCAGGCCCAAAGGCCAATGCTCTACCAACTGAGCTACTGTCGCCCCCACAGTTCACAGACGTTTTAAGCCCAAAATGGTAAGTGTGACACAAACTTCCCTATTGGGTTTCATTGAGCTAGCGCCTCAGCTATATACAGCTCATATAATTACAGTCTATGCTAGGAACTGTTAAGCCTAGCGTACATCGGACTGGCAACTGATCATATCCGTCGCCTCTGAGTTGCTGCCCCGCACACATCGACAATCTGGCAAAAACGGGCAACTCTGAGTCGCAGGCCAGTCTCTTGAATAACAGCGCGTACATCGACAGCAACTGGCCTCAACTACAGTGTGTTTTCTGACAACAAACTGTTGCGGGCTCGCAATACACGCAATACACACACGTTGTTGGAGCGGCGCATGGAGCGCGCACATCGGGGCAACTGAGGACAACTAGTTGCCGAAAAGTAGAACACGGGCAACTGACTGGAACTGGAGACCGACTGAGCATCTCCAGTTGTAAGAGCGCGCACATCGACCGATTTCGGCAACTGATCATCTCCCACCATCTCCTCTCAGTTGCCAAAAGCCGCCTTGCAACTAGTTGTCCCCAGTTTCTCTGTCGATGTACGCTAGGCTTTATGGAATTTCTAAGGAGTGAAATACACAATAATTACAGTAAATATAAAATAAACAACCAAGAGCTGTAAAAAAAATCAAAGTGTGGTTTATTATCTCAGTAAATGTATACATATACAGGAAATACAACCATCAATTGCGTGAGCAGGTCTCGAGTAGATCTGCTGAATAGCGCTCACTTTCTCTCGTGTTTATAGGATGGAACAAACAAAGAGTGTATCAATTGGCGTGTCTTAGTCCGAGATTAGATGGTAACTATCGCTCAAACCCCCTCTCTCCTGACGTCTTACTGATACTACTCTGATATTACAAGAGAAAACAGTATGACCAGGGTCCTGTGCTCCTTGGACCAGATATCAAGCTAATATCTGCCTCTATTCCGTCATTGGCCTCACCGTTTCTACAGAACAACAGATTAGTTACCTTGAACAGATTGATAAGCTTTGAACTTTGTCCTCGAGTACTTAATTGATTATTAGATTCATTCTTAGGTTATTTGATTCATAATCCCAGATTTAGATTTCTACAACAGAACCAAATTCAGGGAAGAATTTTTCCTGTTTTATTCTACCTGGTTTGGTTAATTGTAGCAGTAAGTTTCCTACAAAACAAACAAGTTGATTTTGAAGTATTTTATTTCAAATCAAATCTGCCATTCTTCAGAGCGAGGAGTTGATGGAAGCGTTTGGGTTCAGAGCTGAGTTCACTTGAGAGTGGTGCGTCCCAGTCTGCGTGTTCACGGCACATTTTCTGCAGAATTTGCTTTCCAACTAGAACGAAGGGCGCCACAAATCCAAGTGGGTCGTAGATGGATGCTACTGTTGACAGTACTCCTCTTCTCGAGAGTGGACGTTCATTCACAATTACCCTAAACTGAAAGTGATCTGATGCGACGCACCATTTGACGCCTAGGGCTCTTTCAATCTGTTGCTCGCCCAAGTAACTCATACTTATGGAGTCTCAAACCACCAGTTTGGCAGAGTTTCTTTGCTTCATCCACCAAACGGATAGCCTCCTCTTCTGAGTGAAAACTTATAAGCCCGTCATCGACGTAAAAATTCCTTTCAATGAATCTTATGGTGGTTTCGCTGAACTTGTCTTGACCCATTGCAGCAATGTACTTGAGACCAAAGTTTGCGCAGGCCGGTGATGAGGCTGCTCCAAACAGATGGACTCTCATGCGATAGACAGAAGGAGTGGAATTTAAGTCACCATCGTCCCACCACAAGAAGCGAAAGTAGTCTTGATCTTCTTCTCTGACTCTGAACTGATGAAACATGCGTTCAATATCGCACATCACTGCAATTGGACCTTTTCGAAATCGGCAAAGAACACCAACTAGGGAGTTGGTTAACTCTGGCCCTGTGAGCAGGTAGTCATTTAAACACACTCCGTCATACTTTGCGGAACAATCAAATACCACTCTTATTTTTCCTGGCTTCTGCGGATGATATACTCCGTGATGAGGAATGTACCAAGCAGAGCTTTTGTTCAGGTCTTCGAACGGGACTTTTACCGCATCACCACGTTCTATTGTCTCTTTCATAAACATGATGTAGTCATTGTGATATTGTTTGTCCTTCTCAAATCTTTTCTTTAGACACTTGAGTCTGTGTTGTGCACAGCTCCGATTGTTCGGGAGACTTGGCCTATCTTCTTTAAACGGCAAAGGTAGCTCACAGTGCCCATCTTCTTGCATTTTCACTCCTTCTTCCATTATGGAGATAAACCGCAAGTCTTCTTGAGAGAAGTGAGAATCTTCAACTTTTCTTTCGTTGACGTCAGACTCAAGAACTTTAATCACATCTTTTGGTGTGACCACTTCTTTCACTTGTGTGCGACAGATGAAATTCACTTCTTTTAACAGCTGCTGTGATGTTTCATGAGGTGTCACTTCCTTGACAATGATCTTGTGGCTGCATCCAATTGCATCACCATAGTCCGTGCATGGATTAGTACCTCCGACTATTGTCCATCCAAGATCTGTTCTTTGGGCGAAGGGTTCATTGTCTTTTCCTGATACAACTTCTCTTGGTACCAGCGCTTGTGAGCAATTGTAACCGATAAGCAGACCCACATCGCATTCAATCAATGGGGCGGTCTCTTCAGCCAGGTGCTCTAGGTGAGACCATGTTTTCGCTGTCTTAGGTGTGGGAATGTGACTTAAATTGGCAGGGATGAACTCTCTTGTGTATGTGATGGGAAGAGGAATTCTCTTTGACGAATAGAAACCTCTAACTTGTAGTCCAGACAACTTCTGACTTTGAACTAAAGTATCCCTAGAAGACATTGTTGAGAGCTTCAACTGTACATTTTTCTTTTCTGCCTTTAGAGTGTCTGCCTTTTCTTGCAATACAAATGTTGTGTCACTCTGACTGTCCAGAAGAGCATACAGAACGATTTCTTGTTCAGGATTACTTGTTGTTGACAACCAAACTGGAATAATTGTGGATGTGAGATCATTTTTGTCACTTTGAATCACACGGTTGGAGGTTGCCTCATTTGGTGTTTCTCTAGGCTGAGTTGTCTTTTCTTTAGACTCTTTTATTGCATTTGAATTATTTTGCTCTTTGTCCCTTGCCGCTTCTTTCTGTTTCATAGACTCTTTGTCTCGTTCTTCGTGCATACATGTTGGATGTTTCTCTTTACATGTGTCACAGACTTTTCTCTTCTCACAAGTCCTTGATTGGTGTCCAGAGCCAAGACATCCAAAGCATAGTCTCTTTGTTTGCACAAACTTGACTCTTTCGGTTATGGCTTTGTCCATCCTTCTGCATGTGTGAATGCTATGGTTTGTCTTCTCACAAAACACACATTTTCTTGGATCGGTTTTCTCTTCTGTACTACTTGCCAATACTTTAGCTCCTATAGTTTTGGTCTTGAAAGGTTTCACCTTCTCAATGTCACTTGCCTTGAGTGCATGGAGCGAAGTTACTGGGTTGCATGCTATTTTGGCTTCTCGAGCAACAAAATGAACAAAGTTACTTAATGTTGGAAACATTCCGTTCTGCTCTTCAAACTCAATGACTTTCCTATTCCATCCGGCTGCCAGCCAATCTGGAAGTTTACTGAGCATTCTTTGGTTCTCATTGCAATCATTCAGAACTTCAAGACTCTTAATATGGAACATGGCTGCTTCACATCCTCTAAGAAAATCTGAAAACTCTCGGAGTTCAGCGCAATCTCTATTTCCAATCTTCGGCCATGAAGTTAACTTATCTCTGAAGGCTTTGGCGATAACAAATGAGCTTCCATATCTTTCCTCCAAAGTGTTCCAAGCTGAATAGTATGCTGTGTCCGTCCCCAACAAAAAATAACTCTCAACAGCCTTTCTTGCCGGTCCACCAACATACTTGCGCAGATAGTAAATCTTTTCATTCACTGGGATGTTCTTTCTGTCTATCAGCATCTGAAACGACATTTTCCAATCCTTGTACATGAGAGGATCTCCAATGAAAACTGAAGGCTCTGGTATTGGTA